CTCTCTCTCTCTCTCTCTCTCTCTCTCTCTCTCTCTCTCTCTCTCTCGTTGCTTTCTTCTCTGGCCATGTGTATCCATGTTGTGATGAACTCTTTATCATATGGAATCATAAGCCAAAATAAACTATAAGACTTTTTATTTTCAGTGTCAGTTCAACTTTGGTTTTCTTTTAAAATTCAAGCTGTTGTTTTTGTTGTTTTTATTTACATGTTAAGATGTGCACATCTGGAGTTAGTGTGTTGGTTGAGTTTTTCTTTTTTCTTTTTATTCAAGCCACCTTCTTTCATTGGGGGGGTATTTATAATATTTAGGTTGGGTAAATTTATGGTAAAATTGGGGTGTCAGTTTCTTCTATTTGTCTAGTAGTTGAGGCTACACCTTTTATTCCAGATCTCTCTTCATCACCTGCAGCCTGGTACCTTCAGTGATTTGGTAACAAAGAGCTTGTAACACAAGTTCCTCTGGAAGTATAGACTGGTCCTAGGTCTCAAGAATAGGGCACCAGGAGCATTATAGCCAGACAGCTGGCAGAGCTCTGAGAAGCCTTGAAAGGGGGAAGTAGTCTAGATCTTCTAGCCATGCTACCTAGAGAGTCCCTTGTAAGAGTAGGCTGAGAATTTGTGTGTCCCAAAAAAGAAAGAGATGAACATCTCTGGCAAGCAATCATGGGCCTGTCAGGATGGAGGGGATCTGTGAACTTGAATGTGGGTAGCTTACCTATGTTTGTATGCCAAATGAGTAGGTTGAAGGGCACCTGTTGTGGAAAGTTCTGGGTTCTAGTGAGTGCTAAAGGGAGGCAAAGGGGCAGGTCATTGTCCATAGTAAACAGCCTTGGAGTGGCCAGAATGGCATGTAACTTTCAAGGGAAGCTCAGTATCTCTATGTTATATCAGCAGCAATACGGGGTATTTAAAAATGCATGTTCTCTGACTTCTTCCCCCGACACTGTCATTTGATAGACTGGGTGGGACTCAGAAACCTACATTTTTCAAAGCACCCCTGGTTTACAATGCAGCTACACTTGGTAGGAAAACACTGCCTTTGATGAAAGTTCTTTATTATACTGAGGTTTTTAGATTGGTAAACCTAATTTTTAAATATTCTTTTAAAAACCTTGATTACAGAGGTTAGTGAGAGGGCTCAGTGAGTAAAGGCACTTGCCACCAAGCCTGATGACCTAAGTTTGATCCCCAGGACCCATGTAATACAAAGGGAGAACTGAATACTATGAGTTGTCTTCTGACTTCCATACTCAAATGCACATACAGTAAATAAATAAATGTGATGAAATATTTAAGAATAAAACTCTTGTTTTATTCTTAAAATAAAACTCTGTTTCCTTACAGAAACAGAAGATCTGTGGAAGCTTAACCCTGCAGCATCATATGCTGGAGCCCATTCAGCGGATCCCTCGCTATGAGATGCTCCTGAAGGACTACCTGAAGAAGTTGTCTCCTGACTCCCCAGACTGGAATGATGCAAAAAGTAAATCTTTTATTCTCCCTCAACAACAGCATAATGACATAGCCAATCTGCCCTTTGGTTCCAGAGATGTGACTTACAATTGCTTACAGAGATGTGACTTACAATTTAGTCAACAGACACTGTCAGAAAATCATCTCACTGGAAATTGTTATTGGCACCTTAACTGAGCACTCTGCTTTAGGTCAGGATCATGCCCATTTTAAAAAAATGCAAATCATGGTTCCTATTCTGGATTCATGTTATCACCAACCGTGAAACCTAAAACTGTAGGCTTAGAAATCTTTGGAGTAGGAATATAAATAATAATATATAATACAGTATAATAAACCTTCTCATAGGAAGAACATGAGTCTTTGGTGCTGCTGTCTACCAAGAGAGCTAAGAAGACATTTACTATGTAAATATAATCTATTAGCCTTACTCTCTAACATATATAAGACATCAGGTGCTTTATTATCTAGTGATATTTTCCTCAAAAAAGAGAAAGGAGAAAAAAACCCTTGCAGTGGTGATATATGCCTTTAATCCCAGCACTCAGGATGCAGAGACAGGCAGATCTCTGAGTTCTGGTCTGTGGAGTCAGGTCCAGGACAGCAAGAGCTACACACAGAAACCTTATCTCAAAAAAAAATAAAAAATAAAAAACAAAGAGCACAATTTATTTCAATTGTATTGTTTGTCTTAATTAGATTAGAATGAAAGTTTTTTAAGACTAATGAGTTTCATTAATTCTTTAGTTTCTCATGTAGTTTTAAATTTTTTGCAATATTAGACATTGAGCCCAGAGATTCATTTATCACATTCTAATATGTACATGGTATACCAGATGTGGTTGCTTTAAATCTCAGCACTAGGGAGGCAGGAGGATATCTGTGAGTTCCAAGCCAGCCAGGGATAGTGAGACTCTGTCTTAAAAAAGAAAGAAAAAACAAACAAACAAACAAACAAACAAACAAAAAACAAAACAAAAAAAACCCAAACTTGTACCTCCAGGCCTCTAATATAGTTTTCTTAAACCTCTCCAAAAATTAGAGATGAATAAAAAAATTAAGAAATAGTCACGGTTTAATGTTTGACAAATACTAATAATGCTAATGTAGTCTTAAAGCTATTCTTCTCCCTATATGTTCCTGACCTCTTTCATAAGCTGATGCTATTCTGAGATGAGGATCATAGGCCCAAGTCATCTTGGACTCAGACCATTTCTATTATGTTTTCCTACCATCCCAATGACTTGGTGACCACAGAAACCTCTCTCACTCTTTTCCCTTCTGATCTTTCCCTGGCCTGGTACTTCCTGGGAACTCAGCCAAGCTTCTGATGAATCATAAGTAGGTCTTCCAGCTCTCCATAAACTTCTGTTGTTCACCTCAGCCTCTGCCACTTTGTTTTCCCTCGTCCTGGATACGATACTCAGAGAGCTGCCTGTGCCCACATGGTCCTGGCGCCGGTACAGATGCTCCGTCTTTCTCTTTTAAGTGGCCTTATCCTTTCACCCTGCCTGAAGGTTCATGTTCAGAAAGACAAATGGATCTTGAGAGCCCAACATGTAAAAAGACTGAAATTCTTTGTATGGCTGCCCTGCTCCTCAAGTCAGATCCTGTCCTAAGGACATTGCCATCCCTACTCACTCTCCTTACCATTAAATGCAGGACTCAACACAGCAAAGACACAAAGAGACACGTAGCTGTTTTTATAGCACCAGCTGCACAGGCTGGAAACACTTTCAAACAGAAACAAAAATAATGTTAACTGTGCAGTTTTGAAATACTGCCATTATCGCTTCTAAGATACTGTTAGAGATCTCACAGAAATACTGGGTAAAGTGAGGAACATAGCTTGGCAGTAGCATGTCAACTGCACCCAGATGACCTTTGTAAAGGCTCACTCCAGGGTAGTCATGCTGCGGCCAGCCTGGTGAACTTTCTGCACACTCTCTTCAGAATCTTTCTGCTCCTTGTCTTTCCTTGGCAGTTTTGTTCTTAGTGTTTTCCATATATGGTTTCAAAAGTTCTGAGTGTTAGTTCTTCAGATTACTTTTTGACAATTAGGAATATACATCCAGATGAGTATGTTTTTCTGCTCTTCTGTGGGTTGTCATCTGCCTCCCTAGCTTTCCAGCTCCAGAAGCAGAAAATACACTGAACCAAACCAGGCTTATTTTTCAGTAGGGCTGTGGATGGGTTCTTCCTCAGCCAGTCCTCCCTGGGGTGCAGACCAGCCCTTCAGGAAGGGACAGTTCTTACAGAGAAAGATAGAGTAGTCGTTGCATGGAGCTGCCAAGCTGCAGCCACCAGGAAAGCCAAGTACATGATTCGAATCCTGTGCACAGCACTGCTTCCATATTCAGTAGTCTGTATCTAAAGATTCATTCTTGCCCTAAGTTATAGACATGAGGTACTGCATGGCTCTTCCTGCCTTGCCTTTGCTAAGCAAATCCTAGAACATGGACTTTTAGAGTCTTGAAAGTATAAGATGAAGCACTAAAAGTATGTTCCATTCAGCAATGCAAAAGCACAGAAAACAGGCCTGAAGTAATGGGGCTGTCTTGTCATTACTTAGGACTAGGAGATGGTCCCAAGGGGTGGCCAACACAAGACAATGCCCCCAGTGTCCTTCACCATCAGCCACTGGAGCTCCACACTCCACTCCTCCCAGGACCTGTTCCAGCAAAACAATCCCAGACTCTCTACACCCGATTAAGGCTAACATGTAAAGAAAACTGTGCATGTTTAGTAGGCAAAATGAAGCATGAGAATTTTGAGCTGTAAGATCTAGGATTCTGTGGAACAAGCCAAGTCATATCGCTTCCATCATATGGCAAAAATGAAAGAACACATCAATGGTACACAATAGCTCCTCAGGAGATATTTTCCAAAATGTTCCAGAACTCCTTTAATTGTTATTAGTACCAAACTTTATATATAGTAATATTTTCCCTACATATATCTATGATAATGTTTAATTTGTAAATTAGACATTAACAATATTAGTAGTGTTGCTGGCCAGCAGCCACAGTCAACCGGGTTCACCTGAAAGAGAGGCTGGGAATGGAAGAAGGGACAGGAGGGCAGGAAGAGATGAGGCCAGGACAAGGTTTCTGATTGAGGCTCAATGCTTTAATGTTCATCTTTCAATTTAAAGGGGAAGCCCTACCTCCACCACCAAACCCCTTCTTGCTTCAGCCCAGCTGGGTGAGGGGAATCCATCCTTAATCACAGGCCAGAGGTGTCTGTCTCTGGCAAGCTCAGCAGGCAGTCTATTCATCTCAGCTCCTGTAGCAGGTCCTGGGTCTGCCAAGGTGGTTCACACCTGAGTCATATTGTTTTGGTCTGCTGTGGTAAACAAGGTCTCTCAGGCCTGCTCAAGGCTGGGGGAAGGGCACAAGTAGAATAATTTTAACTGTATGCTCTAATAAAACTTAATTGAAACTCATGAATTATTTTTTCTGGAAATTCCTATATGCTATTTTTGACCAAAACCAAATTGACTGATGCTGCAGAACTGCTGTTAATATGAAATTACCTCTGACAAAGTTCCTTGAACTTGGTTAATATATACTGTAAGTGCAAATCCATTTCTAAGTCCTGTTAGATATTGCATGTGTCTGTGAGCCTAATCACCATATATGTCCTTTTGCAAGTAAATATCCTGCAAGGTTAGCTAAGCCATAAACAAATGACTTAGAAAACTCCATGCCAGACTGTAGTGGGAATGGCTGTGACTACCTTTGTTTTCCGTCTCTATATTTATGTTACTCTAGTAGCACAGGAAGAACAAACATTTATTTACTTTTCTTTTTTCCATTTAGAATCCCTTGAAATTATATCTACAGCAGCAAGCCATTCTAATAGTGCAATAAGAAAAATGGTAAGTACCTTTTCAAGATCTAGGAACCTTCTGACTAGACAATAGTTGATAATATAGCCTCTCACTATTGTAGACTTCGACCAAAATGAACAGATACAGATGAGCAAAAAAGAATATTTACCAACTATCTAATCCATTCCCCTCTTCTTAGGATTCACTTTATTTATACACCTTATAACAAAAATGTAACAGTACTCTCAATATCTATTAAATTATACACATTTTTAACTAAATTTGAATTACCTTTTTATATTTGATCTTGCTGTATTTTGTTCTAATTTCCCAGGAGAACCTGAAGAAACTTTTAGAAATTTATGAGATGTTGGGAGAAGAAGAGGATATTGTAAATCCCTCAAATGAACTAATAAAAGAAGGACAAATCCTCAAACTAGCAGCTCGGAACACATCTGCACAAGAGCGCTACCTCTTCTTAGTGAGTACTATGGTGTGCAGGCTGCAAACCAGCCATTCACTAGAGTTCCTGTACATACCATGTAAAAGGATTTCGGCACACAGCTTGGAACAGATCACAGCAGACTAGACGGTTCCACGAGGGGAGGAGTGAAGGCTGGCCATGACCACGTGGAGAGAGGGGGAAGGGAAGGGGGGGAAGGGAGAGGGGACAGCGAACCTGTAGGCCCTGGGTCAAGGGACCAAGAGAGAACAAGAGAGTGAGGAGGGGGCAGGCAGGCCCTTTTATAGTGGGCAGGGCTACCTGCCTGTTTCTAGGTAACTGTGGGAAGGAATGTACCTGGCGGCTGCCAGGTAACTGTGGAGGTGGAGTTTAACAGAATACTAACATTCCCACATTTTGGTTTAACTAAAAGGAAAAAATTAGAAAGAGGTGACAGCAAAGCAGGAATAGGGTCATTGTGAAATCTGGCTACTTCTTGCTGACATTGGGAACGTGTCTTTAGGGGGAACCTAGAAGAATGGGTATGGGAGATGTTTGTCCGGTCTTAGGAGAGCTGGCTGTTCTGCTGTCCAGGGTCTGTGGAGTGAGCAATCTGAGGATAGGTCAGAAGGAACAGGGCCAGTAGAAGCAGCTGTGTGTGTGACAGGAGATGGAGCATCTGAAGGTTGCTTCTCTGGAGCTGTTTTGGATGTGCTTATCTGGATGGCATCTATTTGGTCCATGAGAGGTAGATCTGAGTGGGTTTCCTATAGCTTATAAGTTTACAAAAGAGATAACAGCATGAGTTAACAATACAAGCAGTCTTTAAGGTGAGCCTTTGTTGGGTTGTATAGTGGAATGTTTTATTAGTTAGGCAAGTTTATAGGAACTCAGATAATTTAGGACAGTGGGATAGTAAAAAGAGGAAATATGAAATATTTAATTGATGGCAACTGAGTTTAGGTAATGAGGTAACAGGTAATATCTGTGAAAGCTTAGTTGTCAATGTGGTCAGAAGTCTGAGAAAGAGTAAACAATAATCTACCAGTTATATATTATTTTTAAAAAATGACAGAGTCCACTAGCCAACAGTTCCCGTGGTTTCCATAGTCTCATGGGCGAAGTCAGTTTGGCTTCCAAGTGTAGAAGACCCAGGGCTTTTTCTCTGTGGAATGGATACGCGTGACATGACAAATGACTTACCTTGATTTAGCCAAGTCATTTGACTCAGGGTATCCAGTTGTGTTTGTTTGCATACAATCTAGGCTGTATGTTCTAGGAGTCTGGTGTCTGTCTTCTGAAACTGTTAGAGGCTTTGGGAATTCTATCGGCCATAAACTTAAAATATACTGTTAGCAGACTTCTGACAAGATTGAGAGCCATAAGGATTGGTTGTAATTGAATAAAAATCTGTCAAGGTAGGTTAGGAAAGAGTCTTAAGTAACTTTGGCAGGTTGTATAAGAAGAGAAAAGTACATTTTTGTATTAGCCCAGAAACATTTTGTCTAAGAAAGTTGGATCTTATGGCTGGCAGGTTGGGCAGCAGTTGCAGTGGCAGTGACAGGGCGGGACTTCCTGCTAGCATCCGGAAGTTGCTGCCCAGTGACTCTGGCAGCTGCAGTTAGGAAAAGTAAGCATGTCCCATACCACCACAACATTAGTTTTTGTGGCAGAAGGCATTGACACTCACTTTATAGGTCCCAGGCAGCAGGATGTAAGGGGAAGACCCAGAGCAGAGCTAAGAACCACAGAGGGAAGGGAGCAGGCAAACTGGCAGACCGGCCGCAGAGGCAGAGGACTGGCCACAGAGGAGACAAAGGGAGCAAGGCGGATTCCAGATCGCTGCTTTCCCGGCAAGGCGCTGGAACTGAGGTTCCAGTTGACCCACAAATGATGAAGGAGGCAAAGGGAAAGGGTGTGAAAGGCTTTCCCTTGGAAGAGACACGCTGGAGGTTACAGTAGGAGCCGGTGCTTCTGAGAGAAAACAGTAAAAGCTCACCCGTGGAAGAGACATGCCGGGGAGTATGGTCAGAGCTGGTGCTCCTGAGGCAGAGAGAACAGTCTGTCCAGGCCTGGCCTGGGGTACTCAGCCATGAGAAACTGTCTTGAGAGGAAGAGGGGAAGTGTCTCATCCAAGGGGAACCATCTTAGAACGAGGTTCAGGGAAGGACAGGGTTTGCTCTAGCTCAAGAAATCTTTCTTGGGACCATGTGGGCAGTTACCACGTGGTGTAGCAGTGGTGGAGGTGGCGTTGTGTCTGTCCTGTCTGGTCACAGCAGCCAGAGCCAGTGGCTGCACGGGTCTGGAGGTCCCCGAAGTCTTCGTTTCCCGGGTTTTGGCACCAAATGAAAGCTTTTCACGTGCAGCTTGGACAGATCACAGCAGACTAGATGGTTCCATGAGGGGAGGTTTATTCAGGAGATAGGAGGGAGAATGGAGAGGAAGAAGAGTGGAGGCCGGCCATGACCATGTGGAGAGAGGGGGAAGGGAAGCGGGGAAGGGAGAGGGGACAGCGAACCTGTAGGCCCTGGGTCAAGGGACCAAGAGAGAACAAGAGAGTGGGGAGGGGCAGGCAGCCCCTTTTATAGTGGGCAGGGCTGCCTGCCTGTTGCCAGGTAATTGTGGGGCGGAGCGTACCTGGCTGCTGCCAGGTAACTGTGGAGGTGGAGTTTAACAGAATACTAACACCATGGAGATGCAACATACTTGCTTACTACCAGAATAACTACAGCCAACCTGCTTTGGTCAACACTGTCAGGATTTCCTGTGAGAGAATATCTTCAGAACTGTAAAGAATATGTCTTCACTCTGTGAGCTAATCAGCTACAGTAGTACATGCTGAAGCCTTCCATGTCATGTGCACAGTTCACTTTCTGAAGTCCTCCTTTGCTTGATTTTGGTTTGTCTTTCCTTATGTCCTTTTAGTCTAATGAGTATTTTTATATTATGTTGCCACACAGTTTCCTGTGACAGTCACCAGCCTACAGTATCTGTAGAAGAATATGTGTGCCCCACAGTCTTTCAGAGTCCAGCCCTGCACCATCCTTAGCTTCCTGAAAATGACAGTTTATGTAGGATTTACCTCAAGCAGGGACACACACGAACAAAATATTTCTATCCATTTCTATCCACATTGCCTTTATTCTTTGTTATTAAAATAAATTCTGATTCTATACCTAAAACAGATGAAATAGACCAAAGCAGTGGCTAGCAGATAATAAACTAACATTGACTAGTAACTCAGCAAATGTTACTCATTATGACTATTGAGATAACTTTGTAAAGAGCCATCTAATGACTTGCTCCCCTGATTCCCAGCATTCATTTTACCATTTATAATGAGTTGTCTTCACAGCCTGAGAAATTCTAGAAGATTATTTCCATCTTTCTTTGAAAAAAAATTGCTAGGAATTGTCATCAGAGAAAATTTTCATATCCTATGGTGTTTTTAAATTTTTTATTAAGTATATTGACTTGTGAGTGTTTGCATGTTAGTATGTGTGAGAGTGTGTGAATATTTAAGTGTGTTTGTGAGTGAGTAGGAGGTTAAGTATGGGGGAGTGACCATGTGTGGCTGTGTGAGTGTGAGTGGAGGGGTGAGTTGTGTGGGATGTGGTCAGTGTATGTGGGAGGTGAGTGTGTCTTGGAGGGTAAATGAGAGTGTGTGGGGGATGGGGTACATGTTTTGTGTCTATGTGTATGTGTGCCTGTATGTCCAGACCATGATATGTGTAGAGGTCAGAGGAAAACTTACAGGAGTAATTTCTTTCCTTCTACCATGTGTATTCTGGGGATTGAGTTCAGGCTGTCAGGCTTGGAGTCCAGCGTCTTTACCTGCTGAGCCATCTCAGTAGATGCACATTGTAGTGTATAGCTTTTGCTACCCTGACTAAACTCCTGTTCTACCAGCCCCCACCCAGCTTTCCTTGAATCCATGGATAAAAGATACAGACACACACATTGTTCATTTTCAACTTGCCTTCTTGGCGTAATTGCTAGTGTACCCTTATCAATAATCTTAGCTCCACACCTCCCACTTGCCCTAAACTTTAGACGCTCAGTTAAGTCTAATCCCTGCTAAACTCCCTTGACCACTCACCTATAGGAGTGGCCTATGTGGCTACTCCATTTCAAGATCTCACATGGCTGGTCAACTTTTCTCCTTCAGAAGCATGGTGAACTCCCCTTTCTCTTCTCCTTGCATCTCTCTGCTTGCCTCCAGGGACCAGGAGGTCCTGCCTATCCCTTTCTCCCAACAATTGGCCCATGGCTTCTTTACTGGTAGATCAAGAACCAATTGGAGAACAGGACCTTAACATCAGAACCACCCCTACAGCACATTTTTTGTTTCTCTTTTTTTTAAAAAAGAACAATTTATTATCATACTACCCAACTATTTCATTCTAAGATCATTAACTCAAAAATTAAAAAAACAGATATCCATTAAAAAGTGAAGTATGGTATATTCTAAGCAATGAAGCTGTTATGTCAGCAAAGGTTAAACTTGTGACTTCCTTCCCTCCTACTGCATCTATTTAGAGTTGCTTGTATGCACATGTATTTAGGATTGACCATTCACATGTGATAGGATAAATCATCAGGGAGCTTGTTCCTGAAGGAAACTAGTTTTCTCTTTCAGCAGTCATTGATTGTCTGTAGCTCTTCATCAAGGGATAGAACCTTATAAAATTGCCTCATCCACACGGGCATGTCAACTGATGTTGTCATTATGTAAATCCTATTTAAGTAACCATATTATTGAGATTTCAAGGATGTAGCTTCCCTGTAAAGACAAAGTCTTCTAGCAGGCATCCTGGTCTTCTGCCTTTTACAATCTGTTTTGTATTTCTTACACTGTGATCCTTGAGCCACGGGTGTAGGGGTGATGTTACGAATGTATCCTTTGGGGTTGAGCACCCACAGGCCCTTATTCTCTACATCATGAGCAGTTGTGGATCTATGTAATGTATTCTTATCTGTTTCAAGAAAGAAATTTCTTTGATAAGGGGCAAGAGCTACACTTTTCTGTGAGTATAAAG